TTTTAAGTTCTTGTTAAAGCCACCCTCCAGGTCTACAGGCTGGTATATTTATCTTACTCCTGTTATTTTAATAATTTTCACGAATGCAGAAAGTCGCTGAAATTCTACGTGTCGACAATTTTACCGGCATAAAATGGTGTGGGTAAGAGAAAAGACATATTTCCTATTTCTGCACCCACGGCAGTCTCTTGGACCAAATAATAGGCTGGAGGAATTTTAGTTCCAAGGAGTTCTAAAGTCGTGGTGAATGGCAACTTTTCATCACCTTGCAGACTCCCCAGCAGGGGGAGCCCTTCGTGGCTCCGTTTAGGATACATTCTGTGTACCCGGGCTTTCCACAGAATGTCGGCCTCCCAGCAAAAGTCTGCTTTATTTAGGAGCCAGAGACCTGTGGAAAATTGCAGACCAACTTTATAGAGCACAAGCAGTCCTCAGTGATGTCGTCATACCCAGAATACACTATACTCAGGAGAACTCCCATCCCCTTGTGGCGCATAAAGTGGAAAGCTTCAGGCTAAATTTTTCCAACAGCTTATGCTCCAGAAAACTTGGCATTGCAGTGCATTTCTTTGGAGCAAAACTATTGTAACTTGCCTCTTTCATGCACACACATACACATGTATATAAAGACTGAAACTCCTTTTTTCAAATCTGTTAGGACTTGTCTGTATCCAGCTGCCGAGCAACAACTTTCAGTAGACCAAACACCTTTGACTTTTCTCCATCCAAATATCAACTCAGGGACTTCAAGCCACACTTTCCAGCATCAAGTTGAAATCTCACAATGACTTAATGGGAATTTTGCGATGTTAACCTCTGGAAGCTGATCTTCAAACATTAGCTCTGACCCTTTAATCTCTCCCGCCCCCATCTTCGTACAATCGAGACAGAGACAGTTGTACTGATTAAGCCTGTAGCTCTAGTAATATGGAAGGCAGCAAAAGTCAAGGCGTTTTGCAACAAGCAACACAGTAACCTTCTCAATAATATTTCAGAGTAAAAGATTGAGCAGGTTGGAAGAGAAAAGGGGGAGATTGTGACAGTCCAAAGCGCCCACAATAAACAACATTTTGCCAAACAGGAGGCTGGAAGAACACAGCAAACCAGGCAGCATCTGGAGGAAAGGAGCAGTCAACGTTTCAGATGACTTCAGGACTGACTAAAGAAAGGTAATATCCGAAACGTTGACTTCTCCTTTCCTCCAGATGCTGCCTGGTTTGATGTGTTCTTCCAGCCTCCTGTTTGTCTACCTTGGAATCCAGCATCTGCAGTTTTTTTTTTGTCTCTAATCATTTTGCCATAATCTTATGAGCAGCATATTTCGTGATTTTTCAGATTAACAAGTCATTGAACGGACAAAACTCCAGCAATTATTAAATGAAAACAATCAAAAAGGTCACATTAAGGAAATGTGTGTGTGTGTTGTGGGGGGAGGGGGGGCGGGGTGGGGGAAGAGATGCAGAGCCCTGCTAATGCTGTAACATTTTTTCTTCACAAATCAGTCTCGTCAAATTAACAAATCATTCAGTGAGCCATCTGCTATCAAAACAAATCGCAGTCCAACTGATGATTTTGTTTCATTGAAATATGATGGTCATTTCAAAATTTCTTTCAGGTCTGCAAGCATCTTTATTTTATTCTGTTGTCTGTGCCTAGTGTGCTAAATAAGGGGGGGGGGTAGGTGGGTGGGTTGGGGGGGGGCGGAATCCCTCGTGTATGATTTGAATCATTCGGGTCATCCCTGCCAATATTTCAGTCTGTGCTGGACAAACTAACCCAGGCTGTTGGATCTACAGTAAAACACAAGACGCTGACCGGTCTGATACACGAGGGATACCAACATCATCTATTCCTCACAGAACAACGCACAACTAAACACGCTTGTTTTCACCAGTTCTTTAGATATTTTAAATACCGCCTTCCCCACAAAGAATAATTGAACAGTACAGTTATCTCGTGTCTTATTTTGCATACCCGTGCATAAAACAACCAACAGTGTAAAGGAAAAAAAAAACTCGGGATGAATCAAAACGCTTGTGTAAATCCAGACTGGCATAAATTGGGGATTGATGTCATCAGTACTGATTATATAAGCAAGGCAACTGGGACTGAGAACGATTTGCATACATCAGTGCATTGCAGGCAATGTGTTGTCTACACGTACAATCCTGATTTCAGGGCGTTTTAAAAAAGAAAGCTGCTCATATTCAAACTGATGTGCCAACTCTCAGTCTGCCCAACTACATCCTGAGTAACCACACTTACATGCGCAAAACTTTTATAGTCCATTGCAACCCCAGAGATATGTCATTATTCTGTTTAATACAGAAACCTACAGCAAGGGTGGGCAAGGCAAGAATAACTTAAGAGTCTTGTTAACGCTTGCTTTGCAATTTGTGAACTCGGCCGTGGTGTCTGGCATTGAGCGTTTGTTTTTCTCTATTTAATGGGATACCTCTTTTTTTTTCAGATTGGTGTAAATTCAAGTAAATCACACAAAGCCATGTTTCAAAAAGAGGTGGAAAAATACAGTAATTATTGTTCTTGCCACCGACACTTTGCAGAATGGACACTCTTATCCATATTCATTCATTTAAAATCTGTGTTTCGTACCCAATAATCTGGATCCGGATTCTCAACTGGGCGATTTCTTTATCCCGGGGTATCCCGTTTGTTAAAAAAAATCTATTGTTTTAATTTCGCCATCGCTACATATTGACGAGTGCGGTTCCTGCATTACACAAGAGGCAATCTTTACATCTTTAATGGTATTAGTGATTACAGTATATTCATCCCTTCTGAATTACAGGCAATCTAATTACTTCGGGAAAATAAAAGCCCCTCGTCCTTCAGGCTGTTCTGGAGATCTGTCCATGAAAGACAGTGAATAAAGTTTGTATTGAACCCGATGCGGCATGGAAAATTAAATCCCATTGTGCATCAAGACTGATGGACAACCCTGCTACACCCGTCGTTGTAAAGGAATCGGGAGCACTCTCGGCATTTCTTGGGTTAGTTATTTTCCCCATGTTGTTCTTTTAGCATATTTAATGAGAAAACAAGCAAATACTGGGAAGAGGGACGACATTCTCTGCGCAATCTCCCCACGGCCTGACCCATGTGAAAACAACGTTTAAGAACAAATTTAGTCACTACAGGGTCGAACGGCCCGGGAAGGGAAACTGGGGACGATTTAAATAAAAAAAGGGCGGGGGGGGGGTGTGTTGAATGCAAAGCTTTTTAAGGGATTAGATTCAATCTCTCGCACCCTTCCCCCAACCCAAGCCCTTCAACGAAAAATCTGTCTATTCGCTTTGCAATGTTGAAGAGTCGACGTTGACTCGGCTAAATTCAATTTATGAGTGGGGCCCAAAATGCAAACAAGCCAGCGACAAAAAAAATATAAAGAGAGAAAAAATACGTGGAATATACAACATAATCTGCAAAGTAAATCACAATGCTAAATATGTGACGACTAAGCAAGAGAGAAAGCAAAAGACACACGTATAAACCGGCACAGGTCTTATTTGGTTAGAAAGGGATTAGAGCGAACACTAAATGCTGCAGTTGGACGCCCGGCACCTCACCTTAAACACACACGCAATTAAATTTGGACGGAATTCTTTCTTTCTTTAAATCAGCAACGGAACAGAGATTAATTTTTACAACAAATTCTCGTTTGGGACATCGGGGCTGTCTAGGCTGGGGTAGCCCGTGTCTTTAAACTACACTCTCGTGATGCTGTTTCTGATATTTAACATGCTGATTTTGTTCAAAGAGTTGTCAAAACCAACAACAAAACAAAAATCCTATCATTTTCCACAAGGGTATTAACCTATCAGACCTACTCCGAGGTGCTGGAGGGGCATTAGACACAACTGCAAACACGGTATCTTTTTAATAACAAATTTATTTGAACAGATTTGATTCCTTTGTACACCAAAATGAAATTCTTGTCACCAAATCACAAACTTAAATTGTGTCACAGTCAAATCTGACATCAAATATATAATTTATTAAACAACAAACTTTTTTTTACTGTTTTCTTAACCGTGATTCTGTCTTTTAAAAACATAATACAAAATTTGAGGAAAATAAATTACTGTTCGCAGCCTCCATAAGTAATCCAAATATAATCGTTGAAAAAAGAAACATTTAAAGAAAATATCTTATATTTCAGACCAGCAACTGACCTGTCTTTTATTTTTAAATTTAAAAAGTTCTGTTTTATAATCTCCCTCCTCCCCACTCGTAACAAATAGCAAGTTTCTGAACTCCTCTGAAATACGCGTTTTGTACTGACAAAACAGTATTTGCCAGATTTCTATCCCCTTACCAGCGGTTTCCACGGCAGTGCTAATGTTAAGGGTCTTTTGTTTATGCTGCAGTCGGAAGAACCACGAAAATTCTCCTTAAATCAAATTCGGGGCAACCTTGGTCTTTCAAATACTTCAGACCGTTGCTTAAAGCGAGGTTCGTGAGCAGTTTTAGGGCATTTTGGAAATAAGCTGCGTACTGTTTCTGTATGTGTCTTTTTTTTAAAAAAAAAACCGGTCCTGTTATTAAACAATACTCTGGGGCCTAACCGTGTGTATATTGCATTTTCTACCAGTCCAGTCCAACAGATAATACAACACTGCACGCTTTGCTATCAGGTCCCTCTGTTTTGCAACCAGTTACGGAAACGAAGGGTTGTGGGGAGGGAGGGGGAGAGAGAGAGAGAGAGAGGGGAGGGGAGGGGAGGGGGGGGGGGGGGAAGGGGCAAACACGCCATCCATAGCAACAGATTCACCTGATATAGCCGAGAGAACCAAGGCGCTGATAGGTGTTAGGCACACAGTCGGTCTGCAATCCTTTTGTTTTTGCCGGGGTGGGGGGAGGTGTGGTGTTGGGAAGGGGGGGAAAGAGAAAAAGAAAATGAACCACAAAGACCTTGTCCCCTCGACGCTTTCTTTTTTTTCACCACGGGGCGGTGGGGGTGGGGGGGGAGGTGGGGGTAAGATCCGAGACGTCTGCTAAAACTGTACATCGAGTTGGAGAGAGGCTTCGCCCCGCTTGCAGACTTTTCTCGTTTCAGATATACAACTTTCTCGTTCTTTTTCTTTTAAGAAGTGTTCTGCCTCTATCCCGGTTGCGGCAGTCCAATATGTAATTTAAGTGGGGGTTGAGGAACGAAGGAGGGTGGAGGGGTGATGGTGGGGAGATAAAAGGAGGTGTGTGTGTGTGTGTGGGTCTCTCTTCTCCCTTTCTCTGTTCGGGCGAGTCCCCCAGCCAGCGCTGAGTGGAAAGGATAGCAGGGAGGGCGGTTAAAGGTCGCGGTGGGTCGGGGTCTCTGAGTCCATACTGTGGACGAATACCTCGTCTTGCTGATGAAGTCCAGGCGGCGTCATCCTCTTCTCCTTCTGCCTCCGGTTGCAGAACCAGACCCTTACCACCTCTTTCTCCAGTTGCAGGCTGTCGGCCAGGGTGGAGATCTCCTGGGCGGCTGGCTTGGGGCACTTGAGGAAGTGAGTCTCCAGCGCTCCTTTCACGCTCACCTCGATGGAGGTGCGCTTCTTGCGCTTCCTGCCCTGGGCTGCGATCTTGTCGATGCTGGTGGGGCTCCCAGTGCTGGAGTCGGCCTCCTCCAGCCACTTGTTGAGCAAGGGCTTGAGTTTGCACATGTTCTTGAAGCTGAGCTGCAGCGCCTCGAACCTGCAGATGGTGGTCTGCGAGAAGACGTTGCCGTACAGGGTGCCCAGGGCCAGCCCCACGTCCGCCTGGGTGAAGCCCAGCTTGATCCGCCTCTGCTTGAACTGCTTGGCGAACTGCTCGAGCTCGTCCGAGGTCGGCGTCTCCTCGTCCGAGTGCTCCAGGCAAGAGTGGCCGGCTTGGCTCAACTCGGCGCCGGCCTCGGAGCCCTCCCTCAGCCCCGGGTGCACTGCCGAGGTCTGCGGGGGCTGCCCCGGAGCCTGAGGCGGGCTGATGTGCTCCAACAACCCGTTGACTTGGAAGGCAGTCTGCGAGTAGAGATGCGGCGCCCCGCCTCCGCCGTTGCCCGCGCCGCTCCCCGCGCCGCTCCAGTGGGGCGAGTGGTGTTGACTCTGTTGTTGGTGATGCTGCTGTTGTTGGTGGTGAGGGTGATGGTGGTGATGGGGGTGAGGGTGATGGTGGTGATGGGGGTGTCGGTGGGGCTGTAACTCGTCCCTTCCCGGCTTCGAGTCCTGTTGACCCAGGGGACTGGCCGCAATCGCCGCCGCCGCCGCCGCCGCCCACGGGCTGCTGCCCTCAGGTACAGCCGTCACCCATTGGTGCGACAGAGGGTGCCCGTTCCCGGCCAGAGCCGGCAGGTAGTCACTGGCGAGGAGTTTGGAAGGGTGGCTCCGGAAAGTGGCGGCCGCCGCCGCCGCCGCCGCCGCTTGCATAGTGGAGGACGGCTCGCTGTGGACGAGGGAGTGCGATGTTAGCATGTTGTTTCTGCTGCTGCTGGTCAGGTACAGATTGGAGGCTGCAGTGGCCATGGGTTTCTCTCTCACTCACTCTCTCTTCCCCCCCACACACACCCCCCCTCCTCCCCAACCCCCCCCCCCCCCCACCCCCTCCCGCCACTCTCTCTCCCTCTCCTCCTCCTCCTCCCCTACTTTCCAACCTCCACCCCCCAACCCTTCCCCCCCCCCCCCCCCCCACCCGCCCACCTTCCGTAATAAGAACCTGCCCTCAACAACAGCAGCAGACTGAGCTTCTGACAACAAAGCGGAGACACTCTCACTCTCTCTTTCTTTCACACACACACGCACACGCACAGACAAGTGAGGGAGGGGGTGGGTGGGTTGTTTTGGGGTTTCTTTTTTTTGGTGGGTGGAGGGGGGGTGGTTTGGCGGTATGGGCGAGTTTGGGAAGATCAATGATAGGCAGCCTCCTGCACCAATAGCGAGCCACGCCGATGCCTACAAGAAGGAGACCAAAAACTTCAGGATGGGTGGCACACACATTAACGACCAATCGCGCCTCTTCAGGAGGTGGATCTCCAATTCCAAACTGTTTGTGTGTTTGTGGGGGGGGGGCGGTGTTCACCCTTTCCTTCCAGACTCCCAAATGTGTCCATCCAATGAGAATGTCAACAAATCCCGTTGGATTCCCTCCCCCGCCCTCCCCCTCCACCCTCCCCCTCAGGATAACTGACAGGTTCACATCTCGCCGCCTGTTAACTCTTTGAAGGAGCAGGGGACACTATTTCCTTTTGGACTAATCTGGCAAGTTTGTGCTCAGAAGTTTACATCCACCGAGGGTCTTCCCCACCCCCACCCTGCCTCCCCGTTCCCCCATCCAACCCCCGCTACCCTCCCCATCCCCATCCCCATCCCGACCGTTCAGGATGAAAACTAAAGCAAGACGCAGCCTTCTTCTGCAAAATGGAGAGAGCCTGTTAGCCCGCTTAGCAAAGCCACTTTTGAGGAAAACAGGCGTTTCAATTGAACGGCGGAGACTTGGCTTGCACAGTCCTGTATTCGGAGTTTGTCACCCCCGCTTTACATTTCCCCACAGTGTCGGCTTTAAGTCATATTCGGTCGGGCAAGTGGCGTGCAGATTTGATTCGCTCCCGTCAAGTTAAGCATTTTAGCAGCTACGCGACTTGTTTTTTTTTAATCACTCCGGTCGCTCCTTGCTGTTCTCACTCGGTGAAATTCGTAATACAAGGAGGACCCCGCCAGCTATCAAATAATTGTCAAATTCAAAAAAAAAATAATCCTTTGCATATTTGTGAGCGCTAAAGGGTCAGACAACTAATACTGGACCCTGGACTCCAACGAATATGTAACTCCCTTTAATGCCAGAAATTATTTATATCAGTCTTTCTATTCAAAGGAAAGGGGATCTTTTCACAAGCAGAGCCAAGGCCAGCGAGAATCGAAGCTCCTAGTGCCAGCTATCCGGGTAGTTAGTTCCTCGGAAGCCTGATAAGAATTGATGAGGGCATTTTATAGGCACTTTGAGACAGAGGCCCGCGGAATAATTACATTTGACATCGGAATAACAGCTCCACAGTCCAGCTATTGGTTTGAAATTCCATTAAATACAACGAGAGATACGAGGTTAAGATTGATTTAAATTTGCATACATTTTCATATATTTAGAGGGAAAATAAAGGAAGCGCCGGCAGAAGTGCCCGCGATACTTTCCCTGAATTCAGCTGGGCTAACATTTCCAAGCATCTCCAGCCTACGAAAGGTGAGTATTTGGCATTTCATTGTTAACCGCATTTCGATTCGGATTTCGTTTTCAAAACCTTTTTGCACGGTTCAGTTTTGCAACGCGTTCTCAAGCGGCCGCGCAAGTTGGACATGTTATTTCAATCATTGTAGATTTTTGTTCTGCAACCCCTTTCGCTTTAAAGAACCCTTGGCCCAGAGACCTTCAGAGCGCACGAGCAAAATACATTGCAATGTTGGCCGGCGAGATTTTGCAGGGCTAAAGCGGCACAACGCAACAACACCGTTTAAAAACCAGTCCTTTCCATTGACAGCAGAGTGGTTCTCCTCCACGCACCCCTCTTTAAACCCCCTACCTACCCTCCACTGCAAGGCTTCAGGGCTGTCTCCCTGAACCCTGTGTTGTCTCAGTAAAGTTTGTGATGTTAAAGGCAATTTTACCCCTTGTTTGTGGGATGGTGTCTGTTTTCTTGCCCCGTGTGTGTGTGTTTTGGGGATACTGTGGACTGATTCCACCCAGCATTCTCAAGGTCAAGCAGAAAGGGCGAAAAGACATTGTGGTCCACGAACCTATCTGCTCGTGTAACTTACCAAAAGCAAATGAACCGCTCAGTGAGCTATCAAAGCAGACAGCACATCATATCTAAGGCTGACAGGAACAGGAGAAAACGGGAGTCAGAAATTGACAGTAAAGCATCGTGGCGAGTATTTTGAGTTTGATAAACAGTCAAATATCTGACCTTTGAACGGCGTGATTTTAATTTATAATTGTCGCCTTGCCAGCACGCAGCGCACAAAGGTGAGGAGATCACATCAGTTTACTGAAGCTGGATTTACGGCTGGTTGTTTTAGTTCGATTTGCCACGTTATTTGGTGCTGGGGCTATTTTCCCTCCTCTAAAAGGCCTGACGGAGGAATTTCCCTCTTAGCTCTTTCATGTTAGAAACTAACAGGCGCTAACTTTCCAAGTGTAACAGATGCGGCTCTCAGCCGCCCTTTTATCCTGATTTCCTTATTCATAGACACATTTTTGCGCCGATGATCTCGGTTACCATAGAGAGAGAAATAAAAGAGAGAACAGTGGTCACATTATACCATATATCCAAGGAGCAGAATAAAAAAAAAAGCCAATTCAAACAAGGAGTCTGGCCGGACACGAGACAGGGACCTAGGGAGCACAAGGGTGCTGTCGCAGGCTGCTAACTGCAACTTTAATATATATACAAATGTAGAATCAGTTTTAAAAATATATATATAATGTTAAAGGATTCCATCTGCAAGCAAAGGGCACGCTTTCAGCCCGGATTTGCTAACTGTTGGTGGTTAGATTTCCAACCCTTGTCAATAGGGGGGAGAAAAGAAAAAGGCATAAAATCTCGGAGTCCAGACTGTCAATCAGTGCCAGGACCTTTGAGACTAGAACCTCACCTGCCCTGTGTGAGCAACTTCTGTTACAAAAACCGCATTGTGCCGCGCCAGATCGTGTTGAAATTCACCCCGAGAGGCGTTTTCTCTTCCACCGGCCGGACGAATTTGGTTTCGTTTTAAATGCAGAATTCTTGAGAGGAAAGTGAAGGATGTCGATTGGAGTGGGGGCTGGTGGGGGAGGGGGAATGGTGTTGGTGGTGATGGAGGGAATGTGGTGGTCTCTGGTTTAATCGGGCGTCCTCCCCATTAGAAGTAGTCAAATTGGAGATCTGAAACGCCCCATTCCTTTTCCCTCTTCGATGTCAATTAAGCCCAGTCCCATTTTTAAAATATATTTTCAAGGGTTTTGGAGACAGCGTCGTTAGGTTTATATTAGCAAGGTGCAATATCCTTTCCTTTGCTCAAACTTTTATCCATCCCTGTCTGTGATATCAGTCCAATCGTGTTTCCATATCCTTAGCAACCAATAAACCGGTTAAGAACGCTCCCTCCGTTATCAATGGGCTACTGCTACAGCCTAGGAAATCAGATTATGGCATTGTTTTTTTTAAAAAAAGAACAAATCTTTTTGCAATTCTTCAAATTGTCAAACCTTCTTGTCAATTCATTGCAGCAAGGTGTAAGTTGTCCACCGAAATTCTCCATGATCAAGTCGTTTCAATGTATAAAACTGAAAGCATAGGCTTTGACTTGTATTCGCACTGACATCCTCAGAGCAATTTGTCTCCAATAACAATACTCCATTTAATTTTGAAAATTTCTTTACGAATGGCGCTGTATTCATGAAGCAAGTGGAAAGTCCTAGGAAGTGCCAGGAGCTTGAAATTTCTACAGTGTCCCGACTCCATGTCAATGAAACGTTCATTCTTTGTCATAACTTGGAACAGGTTAGAGAGAAGACGTGACATATTGAGATAAATATGCACTGTGTGTACCTCTAAAAGCCTAACAGTCGCTGAGATTGTTTGGGGCATCCCAGTGCGTAGTAAATTCACAGCGAATGTTTGTGATGAAACAGCAAAGAAGTAGAAACAAAAACAGAAATTGCCGGAGACATTCAGCAGGTCTGGCAGCATCCTTGGAGAGTTAACATTTCGCGTTCTGTCATCCTTCTTCAGAGCTGAAGTTACTCCAGCAATTTCTGTTTTTGTTTCAGATCTCAAGCATTCGTGTTCTTTGTTTTATTAAAACAGTCTTTTTTTTAAAAAAAAGATCTGGGTTTAGAAACATTAAAAAAAAATGCTTCTGAGGAAGGGTCACTCGACCCAAAACATTAACTCTGCTTTCTCTCCACAGACGCTGTCAGACCTGCGGAGCTTTTCCAGCAATTTCTGTTTTTGTTAAAAGTAACTTACTTTGGCTACACATGCCACTCCTTGTACAGTGTTTGCCTTCCCATGTCTTCTGGAATTCAGATCCAGTCAATACGAGTTGTCATTGTAATATGTTACCAGGCGGCTGTCTGTTTCAATTAAGTCTGTTCCATATTTTGTGAGCTTTAAGCGGGCGTTTGAGAAGATTTGCAGCTTTATCTCTTTGAAGCTCAGTTCTCTAATTTTGGATCTTTATACCTCCTAACGAGTGTGTGTGTGCACGAGAGAGAGAAAGAGCGAGTTGCATGTCGTTTGCACATTGGAACCAGATTATCAGTGGTTTCTCTGCGATGTGTTGGGAATGAAAGACTGCTGACAGAAGAATATCGTTGTCGGCTCTTGAAGCAAAAACACGCAATTAAACACTGTATCGCAGGTCAGAAAAATTGCGAAAATTTGATGCGGGGCCCGAGAGACCCAATGACATATTGGAACAAGATCGATACTGAGCGTCCAATACAGTACAAAACTACCTGGCCCTGCAGATTTTGATCGAATGCATGTGTTTATGACCGGAAGAATCCGAGTGAAATCATGCAGCGTTTTAATGGAAAGTCTCCTCAGATATTTACTGTCCATTCGTATTCAACAACGGCTTGGCCTAATTCGGAAAGAACCCTGTCACAATCATTTTATTTTAATTCAAGCAACCAGTTAGTGTAGCCTCGCTGGGGGAAGACGCAAACATGTTTCATGAATACAGGTCATTTAACAGGACAATGGTTATAAGTTAAGGGCTTTCCTAATAAAAATATAAACGAGCGTTTTGCTAAACCTCCCGTGCTATTTATTTCATGCAGGCGATGTCTGTTTAATTCGGGTTTTAAGGGAGAAGTTTGTGGCTGATGTTGTTTAGCAGTGAAAACAAAAATATGGAAAGCATAGTCCGGGAGAACTGCTCCAATAGGCTGTAGAGACCCCCTCCCACTCCTCACCTCTCCCTCCCACCCGCCCCCCTCAGATCGGTGGCCAGACCAAACGGATCGTAGGGAATCTGGGAGCACAGAGTGGGGCTTAAACGAATGCGGAACGGATACTGACTGGATAAGCCGGCCATGAATCTCCGCACGACTGGGAAAGGGGAGGGTCATCCCCAGAGGTTGTTTACAAATACAGATTGTAACGCTGACGAGATGCCAGCTCTGGTACAAGCGGGTGCTCCGGTCTGTTCATTGCAAGGGGGACAACCTGAGTGAGAGGGACAAGATCACCTCCTGCGCGGCCCCTTCAAAATAAAGTTGAAACGTTTGCTTAAGCGAGTAAGACAACGACGATTTTTAAAATACTCCTGTACTGACATGTCTCGGATAGCCCAACAATAAAATTTCAATACTGAACAACTTTTAATTTGGGCAAGGCACACAGGTTTGTGAGAAAGCAGTCAGACACTGGTTAGGTATTAACAGAATAAGTATTAATGAATGAATAATAACTAATAATAAATCCCTACTTTGTAGAACCACGCCCCTGACACATTCAGTTGTTCAATTACATTTTTTTTAGAAAAAGAATCTTTACATTTACCATGTGATGTGTTCTTGGTGTCTCCCGGAGTTGCGGCCATTCACGAGCAACTCCCTACAGTCTCATTTAGTGCCAATTAACGGGATGCCTCTAAACTTGTGGGCACAAAGCAACGGCAGGAAATTGGCAAAATCGAATTGCGAACGCTTCACGCCCTACAGATAGCTCTAAAGCAATACATGGGTGCAACTGAACATAGTGGTACAGATATTGGAAACGATTTCAGTAGCAACACGTTTAGCAAGCGTTCTCACCCCTGACCATTTCATGCCTCCATCTCCCTGGTTTATTGAGGGGTTTGTTATTTGTTTTAAAGTCAGGGAGTTAAGGTTTGTCAAGGTGGTTCTGCTTTGCGCGCTTGTAGCCATTTTACGGTGAATATTTGCCCCCACTTTAATCCAGGGGTACCCTTTCGAACGGTCACCGTGCCCGCTTACAATAAGGTGGCGGATTTCCCACTTTCTGCATTGGGATATGGTCTCTGCTGTGAATCAGTTTTTGAGGAGCTTCGGGGCAGGACAGGGCAAAGAGATTGATGCTGACACATGCAGTCGAATTTCTGATTATTTAAAATAAAAGTGTAAAATCGATCAATGCTGGTTGTTCTCCATTGCTTCAGGCAACAAGGTAGAACAGAATGGTACTTGGAAATAGAAGCTATCTTAATGTTTATAAATGTTACCCCTTAAAACAGTTCATCGCCAATTGTGATACTATCTAGTAATGAGGTTCTGTTTGTCCTTATTAAGATGTGTGCAGAGTTTTATTCGTCGTAATTCTGAACTGCAATAAATCCAAGTCGTATTTTATTTGTTTGATTCAATATTTTCTTTACCACAGAGCGCAATGTTATTAAAGCCTTATCTGGATTGATTGATCAATGCCTCCTAACTCACAGAGCTCAAACTACAGGTCATAAAACTTACAGGTATGTGGTTTCCCCGAGACCCTGTTACTTACTTGCTACTTAACTGGAAAATGTGACCTTTTAAAACAAAACTAGTTTTATTTACAGTTCGCATTTGTCTAGAATTTGCAGAAAATTCAAGGAGGAAAAGGGACAGTTTTGTCCTCGAGTAAAACAGCTGTTTGAGCCCACTCCCCATTTCCATTCCCGTTGTGTTTTGGGTTTGGATTCAGCTATCGTGAATTGCTCGTTAAAATAAGTTTTTTTTAAAAAGGGCGACATTTTGTACTGATGTTGTAATGTTGAACCTCACTTAAATTGAAAGGGATTGAAAGATCTGTGTTTACCAACTCCGCCGCCCCCCCACCCCGACACCAGACGGACCCCTCGATGTATCGAGTTATTGCGACATTATTGAAGGACATTCCGTGTTAGCTGTAGCACAAACTCTTTCAGTGTGACACCATGTGTCCAGCAACATCTGTATGCGAAATGATTGTGGATTTCTGGGGCTTCATCGGATCTGCAGACTGGAATCCATTTTTTTCTCTCTCAGCATTGTGTATTTGCCAATTCAAGTGATTATCCCGGAGGTTTTTTTTTACCCCGCTCTCTCACATTTAACAAAACATTGGCGTACACCCTGTTATCATTCTAAAATCTTTTCCTTTTCAGGAAATTGCATTTTAAACATCTGGAGAGAATTCATGCCATGGTTTAAAATCTGATCGTTATTAACACCAAATAAGGACTCCTTTATTAAAAAAAACTTAAGTGCTTTATTTTAGTGGGCGAGGTATTAGGGACAAAATTTAGGTCAAGGTTATAATATGAAGTGCTCCTGTGTGAGAGTGACATTTCACTGCTGCAAGAGATGATTATGATTGAGTTAGAACTGACGTGATGAGTTCCTGTGTTGTGCAGACTTGTGAAAAAAAATTGCCCCTTTATTTCAATAAAAGCGAGCAACTTTCTTCATGCAGTCATGGCAAAACAGGAATAAAACGTCATTACCGGCAATATATCCAATTACATGTTAGCCATGACCTCTTTCTCTCTCTCTCTCTACATATTGCATAGACAGAAATTGCTGGAGAAACTCAGCAGGTCTGGCAGCATCTGTGGAGAGAGAGTAGAGCTAATGTTTCGAGTTCAGTGACCCTATATATTAGCCGTGTAATGTGATAAATGTGGCGCGTGTTAGCTGAGCAGTTTCTTCAATGTGTTTGAACGGTATCCGCGCAATGTCCCCTCGTTAACTGTTAGGAATGACTTGCGCTTACGGTTAAATCAGAGACACGTACAAAATACTGGAATTCTACAGGATGTTGATTGGCAGCTGCGAGGAGAAGTGATGGGTTAATATTCATTGTATTGGCCCACTGGGTCAGTAATCAGTAAGGACCACCACAGAGGCGATCTAACCCTTCCACGTTTGCGAATTTCCGTTCTGTAATCCCAGTATTTCTATTTTTTCCCTATATCTGCGCGCGCTGCTAATGCTACTTCGTTTGATAATAAAACTTAAATATCTCCCACATACAGATTTGCTGTGGCTGTTAGCCACAATGTCTGTACAAGATAAACACGAAGAACGAAGCTGCTTCTGATACTAACGAGGCAGGGTAAGACAGGGAAATCGCCATTCAAAAAAAAAAATAGGCGTGTTACAGAATGATCAGGAGCTTTAACTGATAGGCAATCTGTTCCCAGTTACTGATACATTTACTGAGCTCGTATCATAATTTGTTATTAGACAGTAATGAAAGTAAAAATGATGAAACTGTGCGATCATTTTAGTCAGCTTTGCCTGCAAAATGTCTCCTTTATCAACCGCTTGCAACGATCTAATGTGCCTCACATCTAATTAGAAATGATAAAAGTTAGAATAGTCAAAAGTGGGTGCAGCTTAACCAGCCAGCGAGAAGAGTTGGCCTGTCGTGTCTCCCATTTAAGATTAAATTGGAAAGTATAAATGCTAAACGCACGCAGAGAGTTTTTAAATGTACAGACTGGAGCCGTTAGTGTTGTTTAGATTCAGTTACAGCCTGGGGCGAGAAATCCCCTTTCCCACCAGGACAAGAGCAATCCCGTTGGATGCATATTGGCCAAGGCTCTTTCTGATTTCCTGTGACCTGCTGTTCCCGCAATGATACGGACGTGATTTATAAGATACATACAATCCGCAAAGTTAATAATTGTGAAATTGTATACAATAAAGCGTGCAACAGCATTGAATATACACATAAACTCGAATAATGCCAGTTGCAGCTCGCGTTGTGCCCTGTCAAGCAGCCCTCAAACAAAGTCAAAGAAGAACACTCTGTGCATTAATGGGCGCCATTCAAAAATTTCAGCTACGTGCTCGCTAGCGATTTGTGGAACAATGTAGATGCTGTTGATAACCAGCCATTCTAATATCAATACACTATCGCTATAAGTCTTGTTCTTGATGATTCGGCTGAATTAATAGACCAGGGTTATATTAATAAAATAAATACAAGCGAAACTCCAAATTTCACGTTTTAAACAAAACGTGTCTTAAGGAAGTAAACTTCAGGGAAGCTGAAGGAATCTTCTTGGGTGACCAGGTCCCTCTGCCCCCAACACTGTCCAAGCTCTGGGTCACATTAATTCAGACGAAACACGCTGAACGTTACAAAGAGAATCGAAATTGTTTAAGGCTGTATCTGTCGCACATAATGATGTGCAGAGCAACGAGAACACCCGCCAGGAACTGTGTCAACACTCAACAGGGCTCTTAGCCCTCTCCTTCAATCAGGACACGGGCCTGTTTAGTTTTGAAGGAATCGGCCCACCATTAATCAGCACCCCCCCCCCCCCCCACCCCCACTCCCCAGCTTTGCGCTTTGGTAGTTTCTTTTAGAGCCCAGTTTCCACCAAATCTTCACTCCCCTTTTTACAACGTGGGAGAAAGAAGGCAGATTGAGCCAACCCCGGCTGCTTGAATCCCTAATAATACAAATGGCAGGGTATGTCCACCACATGACACCCCTCTCTGACGGTCTCGGCAGGCTGGAGTTGTGGTTTTGCCCTGGACCAGGTGAGCGCCCGGGGAGAACACAATCGCTGTCAAAGGCGACACCAGCACAGTTGAAACAGCAGAACAGAAATCGCGCTAACGACGTCGTTACGTACATGGCAGTTCCTACCCCCCACCCCTACTCTGCCCCCCTTCCCCGCACCCAAGAGAATAAAGGAAAGATTTCTTTTTACAAGTGTTAGTGCTTGCAATTCCTCATTATAATCTCACGGTCAGTCAAAACCAGGCAATGCATGATATCAACTGCAGTCAGAATCAGCGGGAATGATAATGAGCGTTCATCACTTGTTTAACCCGAATATCTGCACTAAGAATGGCCAGGGGATGCCAGTATTTTTCGATAAACCGCAGTGAGTGAATGCCAGAGCTCTGGTTTGTGAGCTTGGTCCAGACGCCAGGATGCGAGCGGGCACAGTTCCTGGAGCAACTGCAGTCCGCTCCTGCTGCAGCGAGAACCAGCCATCTCCCATCCTGTTAACACACAGACCGACACAGCGATACATAACATAAACAACAGGGGAGATTGGGAAAAGAAGCGCGCTCCACACAAGCAGGGTTTTTTTTGTGAACTCAATCAGCCCACTCTCACCACACTTTCTTTTAACCTCGATCCAGACAGACAGACAGACCCCAGAACACAGGCGGTGCTGAAAGTATTTACCCTGCCAATTCCGATTGCCCTTCAAGGAATAAAAGTTTGTCCGTTCTGCGAATGGAAGTTCGTTTTAGCGAAGCATCTGCTTGTATTTTGCCATTCAAAGTAAGAATGCTGTTAGAAGCAAAACAGAATTCGCTGGAAAATCTCAGTCGATCTGGCAGCATCTGTGGAGAGAAATCAGAGTTAACATTTAGGGTCCAGTGACCCTTCTTCAATTCTGTTCTAAAGAAGGGTCGCTGGACCCGAAACGTTAACTCTGATTTCTCTCCACAAATGTTGCCAGGCCTGCTGAGAATATCCAGCAGTTTCTGTTTTGTTTCTGATTTCCAGCATTCGCAGTTCTTTTGTTTCTTAAATAATGACATTGCTTATTTTTGAGCTATTTATTGGTTTAACTTATTCGAGAAATCAATTAAATATTGTTCGGTGTTATAAATCATTTATTTGAATTGTTTCCTAATGAAACATCTTCACAATAATAATGAACATCTTTACAATAGTAATGAACATCTTCACAATAGTAATGAACATCTTCACAATAGCAATTTATTTAATTCTTTCTATGAAAGTCTACGTGTCACAATCTTGTTAGTAGATTGGAACTTCGAGATGAAATTTACGATGGTGTTTGAAAATATTGCAAACTTGTATGAGATTACATAATGTCGAATGTCTAAAGCGTATGCATTTCATAAGAACTAATAATGCAATGGTACAACAGCATATTTTGAGTTCAACATGTGATTTAGTTGAGCAACATTTTGAATGTCGTGTCGAGTCCTTAACAAATCGTTGCAGTAGGAATTTCGAAGAACTTTTTACATTTTTTTGCCAATTTCGAAGGGCCGATGAACCCAGGGAGTACATCTTTAGGTCGAAGTTCAGTGTTTTTTTATTTGATCATGTATATTAAAAGTATTCTGTCTCAAATTCCCAAATTAAACCATTTGAATGTCGATTAATTTGAATATTACTTTCAAAACGACACATAGAACCAGGAAGTGTTTGAACTCAAAGTTTTTTGCTGGTTTCGAACAGGTGGAGTTTGGGAATGCGTAGCCCTTTATGTTGTTACAGCGACACAGGTGTAAGAAGTAACATTTTTTGACAAAGTAAACTTATTGGATTTAATTTTGGATGTTTTAAATTTGGCAATTACTCACTAATAATGTTTGAATAATCGGCAAGTATGTTAAATGTATTTCAATAAATAGCTTTGTGAGCAAACCTGATTGGTTGAAGAGCTAGGTCAGATGTCCCTGTTGATTCGTTTTGGTGTCTGATGACTTGTTATATCAC